TTCACAAAAACACAACAATGTCCTCCAAATACTTGCAGCAGTCCTTCTGCTCCCTCCAGATATTCCAACTTCTCCAGTATTCATTGAGCTTGTCTTGGGGCTTTCACCTGGGCAGATAGCTGAAGCATTACATGCCATGCACTTAGTTCTTCTTCAGGAACGGGATAGCAATATTCGCCCCCATCATTCATCATTCACTGAATTTCTCTATGATCAAGTCCGGTCAAAACAGTTTTTCATTGATAAATTCACCTTACATGATACACTAGCATCCCAATGGCTCAAATTGCTCACTGAAGCTGTAGGGTCCAAAAAGAACATACTTGGGTCGAATAGAAGTACTCTGGAGAATGAATGGCCTAATTTCTGCTTTAGGAAGATAAATGGGAAAATCAATGCCAATATCATGGCAAAGGTGGACAATTACTACTATACATTGCTTTCCCATGCCTCGCAGAAATGTGCCAACCTGCTTCAAATAGTTGCAGCAGTTCTTCTGCTCTATCTAGGTGCTCCAACCTCTCCAGCATTTATTGAGCAGCTCTTGGAACTTCCATCTGGACAGGTAACTGAGACATTACATGCCATACACCCAGTCTTAAATGTTTGGGGACAGAATGGTAACATATACCCCCAACATTCGTCGTTTACTGAATTTCTCACTGACCAAGCACGGTCAAAAGAGTTTTTCATTGATAAATCCATGCAACATGGCCTTGTAACATCTCAGTGGCAGACAATGCTTGCTGAATAACCCAAAGAAGTGGTACATCAATCACACAAGAGTGTTCTGAGTCTGGATGCTGGATGAAAATTTGTGCAAAGAGTTGAGGGTAGGGGGTATCTCATAAATAGGTCAATCCTGAATGTTGTAGTTAATGCACTCAGTTTTCTTGAATGTCCAGATTATTTAAGCATTAGTATCTTTCCTTTATCATTCACTGAAATTTGAGCCCCCTCTAAGACCAGACACAAGTGCTTCTCATGGTTAGAAAAACTTTAGAGTCATTAGTCTTGCACATCAGTTGCATGCACAGTGAAAGAAAAGCAATTTTAGATTATCAACATTGGCTGACAGTAGTGGAGCGGCGGAGGAATGGGAAAAGATAAGATGCAATGTTGTTCGGAAAACAGTATGTTGCTAAATCTGTCGTTGATCGGACAAGAAATATTAAAACTGAATTGTATATGGAAACATCGCCCCCTAGCCCTAGCTTTGTGCCATAACGACGGTCGTCGGTTTTGTCCACTGAAGGGTCGCATCCACGGACTTCAGTGTTATTTTAGCCTGAGAAGCCATACAGCGTGAAGGGGAAGAAAACAATCATCGGCCGTTATTGAAAAAAAAAAAAACTTATACTGACCCAGTGACCGCCACTTCGGTCGTGCTTCCCCACGCCCGGGGTACAACTGCAGGGACATACCTAGTAAAACAAGTAGGTTGGCATCAACAGGTCAGAGGCTGAAGGTGGTAGTTTGGGTGAAAAAGTGACGTCTCGATTTCTGTTTACCAAATAGGAATACGGACCCAGCGACAAACACGGCCATGTGGCCGACTTCCTTTACTCTTCTTTTTCTGCCATGAGCCTCGGATGACTGCCCTCTTTCATTGTCCTAAAGATCATACCTTGCAGCACCGGCGGATGCAAAGTTTCAATCTTTTCAACCCTGATTTTAATCTGATTTACGGTTTGTGATCAGTGGTGCAACTTGAACTTTGTGCATAATCACAATCACAATCACGCTCACTCCATTGGCACTGATTACTGTGAGTTAATCTCACTGCGTTCATTAGTGTTAATCTTTCCAGCTGCCAGTCAGTACTCTAAATTAGCAAAAACAGCAATTTATGACAATCGCACACCACTAAGCTCGTCCAGGAATGATCGCCTCTTCTGTTATACCCGCAGCTCTGTAATGACGACGACCACCGGTATCTTGGCTACAAACGTGAGGTTGTATAAAGTGGATGGGAAGGTGAGGAAAGTTTTGGCCTTGAAGTTTTTTTTTTTTGCTTCTTCTTTCCTTGAAAGGGTCATGCCACCACAAGGCGCATCCGGACGCCGGGACGGCCTGGCTTGCTTCACTTGGGCAGGGACACGAATGTTCTGCCACCGCACGGAAGGAGGTCTTCTGACCTCTCGTTTTTCGATATAACTGCGTCGATGCGGCACTGTTGATTTTATTGACTATCCCTATGTTTCTCACGACATGCATCCTACTTTTGACCCTAGCATTCAGTGTACATTGCACGATTCAAAAGCCATGGACACGCTACATCTACGCTCCAACTTCTAGAACACCAAGGTGCGTATAGCGCACGCAGTTCTAAACCTTTTTTTTTTTTTTTGATTCTTCAATCAGACCAGAAAGAATTTTTGCAACCCACGGAAAAGTGGATGTAAACGGACTAGACGTCAGGCTCAACGGATCCAAAAGTCAAGTAACTTTCGATTTCGGACGCGAAGTCGGCGGACAAATCAGTTTTCTCATAAACTCACCTTCTTCCACAACCCCCGCCGTCTCATTATCGTTCTCCGAATCCCCTCAATTCATTGGTGAATGGTCAGACGACACCGGTGCAAGCCCGTTCAGTGATTGGGATCAGAGTCTCGACGTTTCAATTCCCCAATCCTCGCTCCGAACATGGTTCAACTACACCACTCCCCCAGAAAAATTCAGAGGCGGATTCCGATATCTCACTATCACGTCTGGATCCAACGAATCCGTGAGAATCTCCAGCGTCATCTGTCTTTTGGGCTTCCACCCGGGCGTTCAAAACCTTCAAGACGCTTATAGAGGGTACTTTTACACCCCAAACGATGATTTACTAGTCCGCATCTGGTACGCTGGAGCGTACACCGTTCAAACTAACATTGCACCACCCGATACGGGGCGGTTTCTACCTCAAATCCGACCCGGTTGGGCGTATAATTCTTCTTTGGGCGTTCCTGGGGTCGTTCTTCTTGACGGGGCAAAGAGGGATAGAGCAGTTTGGCCTGGGGATTTAGGTATATCAGCCCCTTCGTCGTATCTCGCTTTTGGTCCTGTGTATGGATACGAGTGCGTGTTGAACGCGTTGGAAACGTTGTTTTATTATCAGAATGATACGGATGGGATGTTTCCTTTTTCGGGGCCGGATACGAATAGTTTTAGAGGTGGGAGTAGGAGTGATGTGTATCATTCTTGGACGTTGGTTGCTGTTGAGGAGTATGTATTTTATTCTGGTGATATGGAGTGGGTGGGTTTGGTAGGTTTCGCGTTTTTCCCCCCGTAGTAACTTATTTTGGTTATTCTTTTTTTTTTTTGTAGCATTGGGAAAATATCACGCGAGCTGTGGAGTTTACGATAAATGGGATAACGGAATTAGGATTGCAAAACCAGACGAATCTGAATGACTGGGCTAGAGAAGGTGGCGGTGGGTTGAATTCTGCTCTTAACGCGGTCACATATGGAGTACATGTCCTTCTTTTGTTCTTCCCACCTGAAGCGGAGGATCTCATCAAAATTCTCTTCTCTCCCCACAGATGTTGACAAGACTCTCAAACCTCGCTTCGCTCCATGGCGATTTTAAGAATTCTGACAAATGGAAAGCCAGAGCGGAAGAGCTGAAGAAAGCTTACAACGCATTATTATGGGACGACGAGTCTGGTCTGTACAGAGACAACACGACGACGACGTTACACCCCCAAGATGCGAACAGCTTCGCTGTGGTGTTTAATCTTACAATTTCTGATGATCAGAATAAGAGGATATCTAAAGGGTTAATGAGGAATTGGAATGAGATTGGGCCTGTAACGCCGGAGTTGAAGGATACGATCAGTTTGTTTGTTAGTTCTTGGGAGGTTAGTTTGTGTGTTTTCTCCCCAGAGGATTGGATTGAATTTTTTTCCTAATTAGCTCAATGCACACTTCCAAGCTGGAGAACCTGATCGAGCAATCGATCTTGTACGTCGACTCTGGGGATACTCGCTCGACGGACCGGATATGGGTGGTACGACTATTGTCGAGGGTTTGTCGGCGAATGGGTCTTTGTAGTACGTATCAGTCCTGATTCTTCCTTCATCTATCGATCTCAACTGTTAAATCTTTTAGTTATCGCAGTGAAGCAGGATACAACTACGATCCTACTTACACTTCACTTTCACACTCGTGGTCCACGGGTCCCACGCGTTTGCTTATAACTCACCTCTTGGGTTTGAGGATTGTTTCGAGTCAGGGAAGGAATTGGGAGATAGTACCGAATGTTCCTATGGTGTCTGGAGAACAGTTGAAGGAGGTGCGGGGAGGGTTCGAGACGGTATTGGGGATGTTTGAGGCTGAGTGGACTGTCATAGCTGGTGGGTTAGTTCGAGTTAAGGTTAAGGCGCCGGACGGAACGTCTGGGAAGATTCGGCTTGGAAAGAGTGATCATGAAGTGAAGGGGGATGGTGCGTGGAATGTGGTGGTTTTGCGTTTGGAGTGAAACGACTGTAGTGGGTCGTTTGAGCTGGGTTTTTGGATGTTGGGTATGATTTGGAGGTTTAGATGGTACGTCTTTCCTGTGTTGATTTCCCCCTTTTTAGAGTGTATGGTCTATCAAAGCTAATCTATGTCAGAATAGCAGTGATCTGCGACAAGTAGATAAGAAAAAGATAGAAGATTTTTTGAGCTGTCCTGGGATGATAAAAGCGAGTGCAACCGCTCCACTTGTCGATGGCTCTCATAATTTTCTTCCCAAATTGACTATGTCTTTCTCAAATTTAATGCGGAACCTGCGGAGCAAGTGTCGATGGTGGTGTCGGCAAGAGCAGCCCAAACTCTATGCCTTGACAATGTGTCTAAGTAATAGGTTCAAAAGAGATGATAAGAAGCTTGCCATGGGGTTTGAATTGACGGAATACATGATGATTCTTGGAGAAAGTGTATCATGGTTGTTTCAAGAAGACAGCCTATCCCATATTAACTCAAAAGAGGGCACAAACCTTGGCCATTACGTGCTAGATATAGATTTTCAGTCATCCAATGTGGTGTAGTGGTTAACATTGCTGTCTTTCATAAAAGGCGATAAATGTGTACACAGCAGCCCGGGGTTCGATTCCCCGCATTGGAAATCTATCTAGATAGATAATGTTCTTTTTGCGTGGTTTCATTTCCTTCCCTAGTCAGTCCTTCCTACTTTACCTTCTCGGAGCTTTACTTGTTTTCTTCCCTGTGTTTCTATCACTTTTGCTTAGAATCCTTTTTTTGCAGCTTGCGAATGATTCCAGATTTTGTAACGCCGCGCTAAAATTCTTAATTCACAGCTTTCATCTTGCTCCCACCTTCTTCTGCCGCTCGAGCGAGGTTTAGCGAAGTCATCATCTACAATTGAGCAAGAGTCTGCCATCTCCAGCCGGGAGGCTGCGGATTCGGAAAAACACCTCACAACAAGCTCTTCTATCGCACTTCTTCCGCTCTTTCCCAGCCAGCCTCAAGGCAACTCACATGTACATCATGCACGATGAACTCAAACTGCGCTCACAGCGCTAAAGAGCAACTGAAATTCCGTAGCTTTACTGCGGTGAAAAGGAAGCAGGGGCATACGATAATCTTGAATTGTCACAGTGAGTTCCTGTAAACTTAGAGTTCTGTCTTCCGACTGACGTTGAGTCTCCGTTAAATAAGACTACGAAAATGGACTACCCCACTGACGCTCCCGAAGGATGCCTCGAGAACACATTCTCCGTCAACCCCTCACGCTCGAAGACAATTCATGGTCATTCAACGTTACACGAGACCTCTTACAAGCACCTCCGCCGAAGGTCAACCCAAGAACGAACGAAACGACGTTGTTTGGGAAATGCGTTCGTTTTACGGTCGAAAAGATGGTTCTACAAATCCAAGCGTTTCCTTACAACCGAATCTTGCATACGGATGACCCTTCAAAGTTTATTCTATGTTCATTCGGGGATTTGAGGTTTCCGGACACGCCGTTGAGGACTACGGGGGAGTATATCATGAAAATGATGAAGGAGGGCTTGTGGTTGAACGGTGTACAGTATCGCTTTTACGGGCACAGTAACAGTCAATTGGTGAGTTTCTGCAATTTTTCAAAGGTCAAGTTCTGAACTTTTTCTTTCCCCAGCGATCGCGAAGCTGTTTTCTTCGGGAAGCCAACAACGATGAAGAGCTTGACGCAAGAATATACCAGCTCGGCGATTTTGGAAAGATTATGAACGTCGCAAAACGTGCGTTTTACTTGCAAATTCTCGTCACAACTTTTTGTTTCTTATGGGTTTTATACGTAGGCGCTAAGCGAATCGGCCTGCTCTTTTCCGAAGCCCAACTTGACTACCAACTCGACCCTCGCTACGTCGCTGACATCGCTGACATCAAATCCGGCGACGAGCTCTTCTCCGACGGTTGCGGTCTCATGTCGAAACGGCTCGCTGTTCAAGTCAGCAAGAAGAAGAAAATCATTTTTCGTGGTGTCAGATATACACCTTGCGTTTTTCAAATTCGGTATGTCAGAACGCATCACCGCAGGGTCGAAAATGGCACTGACGACGACGAACCAAGGTATCTCGGCTACAAAGGCGTTCTAATGCTTCACCCCGCTCTCGACGCTACCAAACCCAACCACCTCGCGGAATTCCGAAAGAGCATGAAAAAGTTTAGTACCACTACGAACACGACGTTTTCGGTCGTTGATTATTCCAAGCCTTACGCGTTTGGAAGGCTCAATAACGATATTATTGTTTTACTCTCCAGTCTTGGGATCACCAACGAAAAGCTCGTTCAGAAACAACAAGAATATCACTCCTGGATTGCGGAAGCCTCTACCGATCCTCTTAAAGCCTTCACATTCCTCTCTTCGATGGAGGAACATCAGGTAGCCGAACGAGTCTTGCTAGACGGGTTGGATGATCCAGCTGTTCAGAGGGGAATAAAAAGCAGACAGGATAGGGAGGTTGCTAGTTTTAAAGGGGAGAAAAACAATAAGAATCGGTCGAGGATGATTATCCAGAAATCTCGGTTGTTGTTTGGAGTTTGCGATCCGTTTGGAGTGTTGAAAGAGGGGCAGGTGCATATTCGGATTACGACTGCTAGGTCGGGACCTTCTACGCCTATCCATGGGGATGTTTTGGTTGTTAGGAATCCTTGTCTACATCCTGGTAAGCCTTGTTCTCGATACGCGGTTGGGGATGGCCCGCTGACCCATAAATGGTTTGTAGGAGACTGTCTCAAGCTGCGAGCTGCGCATTACAAGGAGTTGTCACATTTGACGGACTGTATCGTGTTCGCGTCTGTTGCAAAGCCAGGAAGACATGCTGCGCCTTCGATGAGTAGTGGTGGTGATTTGGATGGTACGTCATGATACACCTAAATGGCGTCTTCTGACCGACTCTGTAGGCGACAAGTACTTTGTATGCTGGGACCCCGACCTCGTACCTTCCGTTGTGGCCGAGGTAAGACCCCGAATGTTATTTCCTCGCTTCGAAGCCTCCTGTTGACCGATCTTCATCCCCAGTCATACGACTACCCACCGAACAAAGAACGCGCGAGTAGAGGAGTTTCTCGCATGGATATGGCCAACCACTTCGCTTCATATAATAAGTATGTTTCTCCCGCGTCTTCCCCCTTTCATCCCACCTAACATCTATTCAAGCGCCGGACTCGCTCGTGTAGCCGCTCTCCACGCCCGATGGGTAGCTTCCAGCCCTAAAGGTGCTCTCAGTGTGGAATGTCAAGAACTCAACGCTCTACACTCCCAAGCCGTCGACGGAGCCTCAGTCAAAGTCCCAGAAAAGCTGTCCTCTCCACCTCCACGTCCCAAAGACGCAGAACCCTTCATCCTCGAGGCTCTAGCAGAACACGCTAAAGCGTTTGCGGAACAGTGGACGGAATCTAGAGCTCTCGTCTCTGGACCTTCTTCCTACTCCACCAACAGGACGGAGGATATGACTCAAGACGATAGAGAACGTCTCCTTCTCAACCTCCTTCAAAGCGAAAAGTTGACGAATATATCCGAATACGAGCTGTTCACGGTCGCTTGGAGGTTTACGAGGAAGTACCCTGGGATCTCTTTGAAGAGTTATCTGAGCCATTTCGATTTTGGGGCGTTTACGACTGAGCAAAAGCACGCGGTTGTTGGGCTTTTGGAGTTGGATCCGAGGAGGCATCCGTATGTTTGGAATTCGTTGGTCAGGAGCGATATCTTGGGGTATAGGGATTTGTATCAGAGGGATTTGAATAGGCCGTTTTCGTTGCAGAGGTTGTATTCGTCAAAGGTGGATGGGATGGTGACGTTTTTTGAGTATTTGAGGATGGCTACGCAGGAGTATACTAGGAAGGTTTTGATTTTGAAGGTCTCCTTTTTTTTTTTTTGCTTCTTCCGTTTTTGCTATAGAGTATCTGATGGCGATTTTCCAGACTGATGACAGGTTCTCGATTGCGATTTTTATGCGAGGAGAAATCCCATGGGACGAAGATCCGATTGTAGGGAACAATGTCGTCGTTTGCTCGTTCTTACCACAGACGAGCGATACTTTCTCGACTTTACGTCCTTGCACGGTTGATTATCGTCTCCGTTGTGGTGATGGCGTCTTTCAGCTATATGACAAAGTGATGAACAACAGTTTTGTCTTTTTGGTGAAACCGCCAAAGGCATCTGGAGCAGAGGTGGCAGCTAGTATAGCGTTGCAAAAGTTTTCTAGGAAATTGCAGGCACAGTTGGGAAGGTTATACCGTCAGCCGGTTGTTGGGATTGAGATTCATGTCGTGTCGAACCGAGATAGGGTATCGCATCAGTTGTTTGATTTGTGGTTCGAGCAGTGAGTACTTTGAATGGTTGGACTGTGGACTTACCTACTGACTGCTTTCAACAGCGTTCCAACCGAGCGTCATGTCCGACGTTTTGAACGCGAACTCACCACATACACTATCAACGACATGTCTCAAGTCAACTGGGACAATCATCCCCCCTGGACGAAAGAAATCTTCTTTCCCAAAAAAACTGAACGACAAGTCGTAGCACTTGTAACCGACAAAACCCCAGACGACCTCGACAGATGCATGGAACTCAGTCTCACCTATCACGCCGAAGACGAGTTATACTGGATCTTCACTCACATGGTATCCCGACAAGAGCCTCTTCAACGGGAATGGATCACGTACTGGATGGACGCACATCCCCCTCTTGCCTTTGTCCTCCTCAAAGTTCACCCTCCAGACGAAGAAACAAAAACCCTCCCACCTGTCACCCGCCCCTTTCGGCGAAACATCCTACAAAACATCATTCGTTCCGGGAACCACCTCACAGTAGCCTCCCTAGTCGCCCTCGAAAAACTCGCAGGCTCCATAGCCGAAATCCCAGTAGAAGAATACATCGATCTCCTCTGGTTGACCGCTCAATCCGTTCGAGCTCCAGAACTCGTACAAGAAACGCTTCTCGTCCTGAACGATTGCCGAAACACCTCTCATCATCATCATCCACCCGCACTACGCTACGGCCACATCCACGCTTTAGGAATCGCCGTTGACAGAGCAGAAGAGGCAAAAGACGAATGTCCCTGTGACGAATCTGGGAGACCTCGAAAAAAACAGAAATCTCCCCCTGTTCAGGCGAAACTCGAGAGAGGTGGAGATCCTGACAAGCCTCTTCAGGTTAAAGTCATGATACGGGTCGATTCAAGGCCGAGTGTTCGGTTACATTCTCATGTTCGACTACAGGCTGCTTCGAAGCCTGAGAAAGGTTGGGTAGCTCCGATTGTGTTGGATGGTGTTGTGGTTATGGCTCTCAAGGGGGAGATGAAGATTGAGTTGGTTCATCCCCCGCCTCCAGAGATTGACACTTTGCCTTCTACGGTAGCGGAGCCAGGGCAGGAGGAGGAGGTATCTACGCCTAGTCGACTGGTGGATTGGAATTTGTATGATGCTGGGAGTACAGGTATGTTTGAGCCCACCCATTTTGTTCACGTTGGTTGACCGTTTTTTCCAATTAGCTACATCCCGAGCGATGTTGGATGCTCTTACACGACTTATGAAGGACAAGAGTGGATGTTGCGGGTTCTATGATATCATCACGGGTGGCCACCGAAACTCTGAAGCTACAGCTGCCCCCACGGACTT